ATATTATTAATAATTTACACTAAATATAGGATATTTTGTCCCTTTCGCAAAAATGTGAGATTTTAGCAAAGTAGTTAAAATGTTAAACAAAATCCCAATAACTAGCAAATCATCTCGAGATGCTGTTTAGAAACAGCCTTAATCACCTAGAATATTAATAATCTACGTGTAGCAAATAACGGATTTGTTTATGATATTAATTTCATTCCATACGCGTGTAATGGCCAATAAAATTGATCGATCAAGTGTAACCTAAAATTTATAAATACGCGAAAAAATTTTTACTACTTTTCGTTCTCTTTTTAACTAAGTTTAATGCATTTTTTAAACACATGGCATTATATCTATAAATTAACAGTTTATATTATTCGTATGGGAGAAATGCATACGGCCATGCGAGGGAGAGTGCATGGTCGATATTCCCTTGGGGATGTGGTTGCGTTGAATATAGAACTTTGCATGAGTGTGACCTAGGGCGTACTGTTTGTATTTTTAATATATATATATACCGGGTGTTTGATAAGTCCCTGGGCGGGACCTTTTTGTTATTTACTTAAAGTTTCTAGATAGGACCAGTGTTAAATATCTGTAAATTTTTTTTGGTTCTTTGAGAACATAAATTGATAATTTTATGTTCTCATGAACATTTTAATGTTCTAACGGTTAAAAAAAAAAAAAAAAACAAAAGAGAGAAATTATATATTTTTTATATATCATATGAGAACATAAATTATAAATTTTATGTTCTTAGTTGGTTCTCAAAAGAGAACATAATTTTTAAATACAATGTTCTCAAAGTTTTTTAAATGTTCTCGAGAACACTGAGAACATTAGGTATTTAACACTGGATAGGACCTTTTTACTAATAAAAAACATAATAGTTTTGATTAAAGTGATCAATAAAAAGGTTCAGTCCAGGGACTTATCAAACACCCGGTATATATACATTTTTATTGCACCCCCATTTTATCAGTAAGGTTTTCCCTAAGAAGTGAGTTTGTCCTTACTAAAAAATGGGATAACCCATGTGAGTTTGCCTTATTAAAGGATGGTTTCACCTTGATGCACGTTTCGGTGGAAACTTTTGAATAAGAATAGACTTCGTATCGTATTTATAGATTAGTATTTTTCTTCCCCCATTTAATATCATCTTCTGGGCCACCTTAGCACCGACGTTTGTCGTGTGGCCTGGCACTATTTGATTTATATTAACGGGTACTACTAATTTTTTTAATTCCTCACATTTTTCTTAGTTCCAATCGGTGTATTTTAAAGATATTGCATCACTCATATAATAAATTTTTGACAAATCCTATCGTTCTTATCGTTATATCTTGTTAATTCTATAATTGTAGTATCTTGCGTGCGTGCGTACATACAGTA